TGAAATGAACTTCCAAGCACATGAAATGAACATTAAGAAACATGACTATTAAAAGTTTAAACTTGGCTTAAGGCAGGAATGAACATTCAAACAATTCAAATGAACATTCAAGCAATTGAAAAAGACCATTCAGTTCGCACTGGTACAAATATTTCCACCTTGTAAAAGAGAGATTTTCCACATGATTATCAAATTTAAAAATGACAATCCAGTTTAGAAAAAGTCTATAGGTCATTGAAATCTTCTACTATCATTGTATGTTAAGGGTAAAAAAAACTGAACTAAGGAGTTATAATATACTTTCTGCTCGGACTTCCACCATGGAGATGCAGCGGATCTGGACCAAGTAGCACCTCCCTTAAATCCCAACATGCGTGTGCTACCACAACTGAGTATCAGAGGATGAACATCACAGAGTAAAAAATATTATGCAATCAGAGTGATATACATAACAAAATGAATTTTCTCAAGCTATCAGATGAACATCATACAATGAACATTCATATATTTAGAATGAACAAGTGACTATCAGAAGATGAACACCATAGAGTACACAATATTATGCAACCAGAGTAACATAATTTTCTCAGGCTACCATATGAACATCATACGATGAACAATCATTTATTTAAAATGAACAACTGACTATTAGAAGCTGAACATCACAAGGTACCCAATGTTATGCAATCAGAGTGGTATAATTTTCTCATGCTACCAGATGAAATCATACAATGAGCAATCATGTATTTAAAATGAACAACTGACTATCAGAGGATGAACATCACAGGTTACACAATGTTATGCAAGTGATATATGTACAAAAATGAATTTTCACAGACACCAGATGAACAACATACGATGAACTATTATCTATAGTATTATTATACTAAGAGAAAAACCAGAAAGAGGTTTCAAAAAGAGTTTTCACGTTGCCACTTAGGATTTTATCCTACGTGGCATTTTTACAGAAAATCTCACAAAAAACGTTTATGCAATTACACTATAAGTCCTTGGTAATTTATGGAAATAATTTTTATCACACCTAATTTTATAGTAATGACCGGTTAATTGAATATGTATTATTTTTAAAATAAATCATAAACAACTAAAATTAATCAATACCAATCAATCAACATTAATACATAATTAATGTTTTAATAACCAATATGGGATGATTTGCCATGATTTCCGAAAGTAGTCATTTCCTATCAAAAAAAAGAAAAAGAAAAACATAATCCCAAAAAATAAGTAGCATAATTAATTGATTAATTTTTATTATGAGGAGATCATGTAGTATTAGTTGTCCTGGTAGTTTTCTTCTTCGGGTTTATAAGTCATCAATTATGGTTTATATCTATCTACAGTATTATCCTAAGAGAGAAACCAGAGAAAGCAAACAAACTCTCTCTTCACATTGCCACGTAGATAAATTCTATGTGTTATTTTTCTAATGCATGTTTTAAATATTATTTTATACAATTACACTAATAGTCATTCGAATTTCCTGTAAATAAAGTTTTATCAAATCAAATTGAACACATTATTTCAAAATGGAAAAATGAGAATTAATTAAATTTAATGGACGTAACTAATCAACATTAATGCAATGAAATTCCCGAAAAGAATCTCCTAAATTATTACTGAATTGATTTAAAATATAAGTTCAAAATGGAAAAAATAATTTATATTCGGATAAGTGCTAATAAAACTTAATGTCCAATCCTAATCAACATTAATTCCATGTAATTATTTTCCCGCCGAGTACTCCCCAATTTTTTTTTTTTAAAAAAAAAAGTAATAAGGAAATCTTAGGGCTTGTTTGGCCAACATTTTGTTTTAGTTTTTGATTTGGGTTTGAGATGTGATTTAAAATGTGATTTGAGATAAAATTTAAAAAGTTGTTTGGGTAATATTTTAAATAAAATAATAATATTTTTATACCGCCACCGGACCACCTCCGGTGCCGCTACCAGACCGCCCACCGCCGGTGGCGGCGGTGGGCGGTCTGGTAGTGGCGGGTGGTGGTGGAGGTGGTCCTGTAGTGGTGGACGAAAATTGTGTAAAAATAAATTTTTAGAATATTTTTTAAAAGGTAAATTAAAAATTTATTTGAATAGTATTGGGATTTGTGTTTGAGAGGTATTTTAACAGGTAAAATGAGACAAAATGGCAAAATAAAAATTGTCCAAACAAGACCTTAGTTTACTGGAATTGTTTCCACCCCAAAGCTTGACTATAATTCAAAAAAAAAAAATCACCATTAATTGTTTTTTCACTTTAAAGTTTTAGGATTGGAAGCTAATTTTTTTTTTAAGGAACAAACATTCATTAAAATCATTGGAAACGCTCCAGCACCAAATGATTTACAAAGCTAGGTGGACTATGCCACAAAGTTTCAATGACAGTAGAACGTTTAGGTACTATAATTGCTAAGTATTAAAATAATTTTTTAATACTACAACTAATCCTAATTTATAATTGGTAAGAATCCGAAAAAGTAATCCTGATTGACAAACTAATCAATGAAAATTACTATTGATTTTGCTCACAAATCAATGAGCATTTACACTTTTGAACTATCTATAATTAGAGACCAATTAAGAATGGAATAATATTACTTATCATTGGTTAAGAAAAGAATAATAAAATCATAATTTTGAAACTCAAATTTCAAACAATACCAAAATGTTGTTGCACAAGATACGGTCTTAACTCAACAATTATATAATATCATTTGAAATTGTAAGCATTATCACATTATTACTTTTTTGAAAAAAAATTAGAAATAAAAAATCTATACCATATTTACGTAATTTTGATACAAACCGTATACATATCAAAAAAGAGGAACCAAAGTATCCAATTCTGGCTACATTATCATCTTCGGCGGCATCAATGTAAATTCTCTGCATTTTCTCCCAAATTCAATTTCCGAAATCAATTTTTTATATCCCTAGACTAATATTACTATGCACTTTTGTTAGTTTATTTCAATAATTTTTCGTTGGATATTTTTTTTTCTCTCTGTGTAGGTAATGTGGAAGTTGGTTTTTCGGATGGAGATCATAGTTTTTTTTACAAGAGGTGCACAAAGATTGTTAACGTTTATGGCAGATGGAAGGCCTGCAAATAGTTTATCATGTTAGTTTTATTGTAGTAAAATCTGTTATAAAATTTGTTTGAGCGTGTTTACGTAATTGTCAATAAACGTTGATGCTAATTTCTTCCGTGAAGTAACTAAGTAAATGGCCTATATTATGATGGTGGTCAAAACAATGAATGCTATCATGGTAACATACCAAGAAATTAAAACATCATAACATGCAAACTAAAACATGTTTTACGGGGTTTTGTTATTAAATTTTCACAAGAAGAAAATTTTACCTTTTAAGTATCACATGAGAATGCTAGATTTTGATAATTCTGAACAATTTTTGCTTAAAAAATTCATTTTGGCTTTGCCACGTATTTCTTTCTTCTGTAGATACCAAAGTTACGGGTAAAGAAAATTTGTATCAGGTTGAATTTTGAGAAGATTATGTTGTATTGAACAAAAGAAAAAACATCAATAATATTAGTATATCTTGGTGATATTAATTTTATTGTGATGATTTTTTATTTATATTTTTTTTGGTGATATTGGATCAATTGGTCAAGTTGTCTTGGACCTTTGCTTAGATCTTGGTATATTTTTGTACAGATACATAGCCAATTTTTAGTTTCAGTTTTTATGAAAAGAAGGATTTTTTTTTCCTTTATGAAACAAGTAAGAGTTGTAGTACTATAACTTTAACATGTTTATCATTATAACATGATTATTATTCTATCACGATTATCATTATCGTATAATTGAATAACCGCGAATTTTTATACCCCACACATCGTGCGGGTAACATCTAGTATATTTAAAATGAACAACTGATTATCAGACGATGAAAATCACAAGAACCACAATGTTATGAAATCAGAATGACATGTATTCAGAAACTAATTTTCTCATCATATATTCAAAATGAACAACTGACTATCAGAGGATGAATATTACCTGTCATCCTAACTTGATGGCTCTGCGATTCAGTTCCTACAAGTTTGATTGTCGTCTTTCTGCTGTAATAGTTGGTGGATGAACATCAACAATCTTAAAATTAACATTCCGTTGTAAGAAATGAACATCAAACAAAGCAAAACGTACAACAATGAATATTTTCAAACACAACAAATTAACATCAAGAAACTAAAGAGGAAGTCAAATGAACATCAAGAAACTCAAAAAAAATATGAATGATAAATTTCTCACTTCAAACCTTAATTCCTTTAAAATTCATATTTAAAACAACTAATATTCGTTTTAACAAAGAGAATCCTGACTTTAATAATCAGAATTGAAAAAGTAGAAGAATCACGATCTTGAATTAGGGTGTTTCACAGTCAAATATGGAATGTCAAACAAAATTTTTGTAAATTTCAGACAAAATTAACCAGACGAAGATCTTAACTGCACTTTTGAATAATCAGAGAGAGGTTTTTAAGCTGATTTACCGGATGAAAGTTTCGATAATTTGGGCAGAAATTTGCAGATTTGTGGTGGTGAGGAAGAAGTTCGTGAGTTTTGGTTCTAAGAATTTTTATTTTTTCAGAAAAAAATTCCCACTACTTATATTTTCCTGTGCGGTGGCAAATTTGTTATTAAAAAGAAATTAGATATAAGTAAAGCGCGTGTGAACTAAGCGCGTGTCCCATGTATTAACTGATCGTCAAATCACAAGTGGAAAAAGATATCATATTGGCAAGTCCAGTTTAAATCCTGAGAATAATCGGATTTTTGTCAAGAGCTATATAAAGGGTCCTGATCTCTCATAATTGATCATGCGATTAACCTCACCAACACTTAATTTTCTCCACCAGAATCTTCAAAGTTCAAACAGCATCTTCTTCCAAACCTAAGAACATCAAAACCACAATCAATCTCAAGGACTTAGATCAAAATTCTCTCCAAAAACATGGCCAATTCCCCAAAGCTTTTCCTGTTTTTCTCCGTCTTGTTCCTCCTCTGCATATCATCATCAAATTCAGCTCAATCATCACCATCATCATGCTCAAATTACAGATTTCCGAACAACAAAAAATTCAGCACATGCAGTGATCTTCCGTACCTTAACTCAGCCCTTCATTGGACTTACATCCCATCTTCACAAACTCTCCAGGTTGCATTCAGGCAAACAACAATTTCACCCCAAAGATGGGTTGCTTGGGCAATCAATCCCCGTCCTACACCAGGAATGCTTGGATCACAAGCCCTTATAGCTTACCCGAAACCAGATGGTACAATGAGAGTTTACACATCACCCGTAAATAGTTATCAGACCGGATTGAAAGAAGGTGACCTAAGTTTCCCTGTTTCGGATCTATCCGCTACGTATTCCAACAGCGAAATCACCATATTTGCCACATTGATGCTTCATAACATCAGCACAACCGTGAATCAGGTGTGGCAGGAAGGTCCGCTTACGCCGAGCGGTACCCCTGGAATGCACCCCTTAACAGGGCCGAATATGAAGTCCATGGGAACCCTGGACTTGCTTTCTGGAGAATCAAAGGGATCCTCCTCAGGTGGTGCTGGAATTTCCTCCAGGATGAAGATGAAATATTCTCACGGTTTCCTGAATACAATAGGATGGGGGATTTTGATTCCATTGGGTGCTATAATTGCAAGATATGTTAAATTGTACCCTTCTGCTGATCCTGCTTGGTTTTATCTCCACATTGGTTGCCAAGTATCTGCATTCCTTATCGGGGCGGTTGGATTTTTCACCGGCATTTCGCTTGGGAAAAAATCCCCTGGAATCACTCACACTGCCCACATGGTCATTGGAAGTCTAATCTTTGGTCTCGCAACTGTTCAAATCTTGGCTGCTTCGTTTCTCAGGCCAAAGAAGGATCACAAGTTGAGGGTTTACTGGAATATCGGACATTACTCGGTTGGATACACGATTCTCATCCTCGGAATCATCAACAATTTCAAGGGATTGCATATACTAAGTCCTGGGAAGAAGTGGGAAAAAGCTTACATTGCGGTTCTGGTCACCTTGGGAGCTATTGCTTTGTTTTTGGAAGTCGTCAACAGAATCGTTGTTTTCAGGAGGAAGAGGAGATCTCTCAAAGCCGATGCCAATACCGGGGAGGTCAATGGGACTAATGGAGTCTAAATGGCTAGCTGATGAATTTGCAGATGATTCTTTCTCATGTTTGTTTAGATTATGATCATTCTTTTTCTCAACTGTTTGTTTTATGAAAGTGTACAAGGTTAGGCAGTTGAGAAGGAAGTTTTTTTTTTTTTTGTAAAGAATTTATTTAGTTATATTCATGTTTCGTCTGTCCCAAACCACGTGTTAAATACGTCGAACGAACAAGATTTTAATTTTGGAACGGAGATAATTTCATAACATGTTAGAATGACGAATTGGGTGTACTTTTAATCTCTTCCAACGGTTTAATGTTTAGCATTTTAGGAATTTTTGTTTTTTCCCCCTCATATCCAGTATCTAGTTTCTGATGAATAGTAGTGGAATTTAGCTTATAAAAATCGGAATATACTCTGTCTCAAAAGGTACAATATAAAGTTGTTCCACTGGTTTACTTAGCAAAAGAGGGAACAAAAAGAAAAAAAGTTGTGCAAACACAAATGGAACAACACACGTCTATGATAAACATGTAATTTATGGATTGTAAAACTTGCTTGGATCAGGATACCCTTGCAGCCTCTCATATTCTTCCATGGTATCAAACTCATATGTCGGCTTTTTGCCATAACCAAAGGACGAATCTTCATCGGCATAGCTATGTTCCTTCACCGATTCATACCCATTGATTTCGTCGTCTTGTTGAGGATTCTCGCTGTTTACATTATAGTAGTTCTTGCCATTGTCCAAAAATCTTGTGTCACTCATCTCATTTCGCTGGTAATTGCTCGCGTAACCATTGTTGTAATAATTCGCGTTGGAGTAACGATTGTTGTTGTAGTAGTTGTTGTTGTTTGTGTACTGATTGCCGGCATTGTAATTTTCAGCCAGCTCTTCATTAGCGATATCTTCATCAAGAAATTCATCTTCATCATCGCCGTTGGTTGTGGCGGCGCGGGTGGTTGTACTTGTAGCTTTTGACGTTTCTTTTAGAGAAAATTCAGAGGAATCATGATAGGGATGATCATCACTCTCAAGGGGGGCCGGTGCAAGTTCCGGTGGAAAGCTCATTCCATTTTCAGCTGGAGCCGGTGCAAATTCCGGAGGAAAACTTATTCCACCGTCACCGGGTACCGGTTCAAATGCCGGCGATGCTAAAGGTGCAAGAATTGGACCTTGAGGTTCAGGCTCAGGCGGATAATCCAAAAAAATGCCTATTCTGGCCTCAATATGAAGAGAGGAGATCAGCACCGCAAGCAAGAAAATTGAGGCATCTTTAGGCAAATGAGCCATATGATGTGATAAGAAAAATGGGACAACGGAGAAAATGGTTGATTTGTTAACCTCGTAAGTTTGGTCCGAATTTTCAAGATCCCAAATGCATCATTTATAGCAATCTTAATGTTGAAGACAAAAAGGAGATGTTCGTCACCTTTTTAAGTTTTTCTTTACCCTTCTGTTGGCCGTGACTATTTGCGGGGATTGAGGAAAATTTGATTTGAAGATTTGCTGGCGAAATTAAGGATTTTGACTATGATTGAATTTGATAGGGATGGGTCATGTGAAGGAATTGAGTATGTCTTGCACAATTGAAGCAAATATAACCATTCTATGGCCAAGAGAAAAGTGACATTAATTAATTATTAGTCAAAAGGAGGCAACGTTCTTTTCAGATGCTTAAAGAGAAAGTGATCTTAGCTCATATTTTGGAGCATAATTAGGAAACAAAGCTGGGAAAAAGAGGGGCCATCTCATTTTGTGTGTTGCCGTTTAGTTTAGTTGGGACGGGAAGTGTAAAGTTGTTAGAAGGTTGACTCAATTCGGTTTTGTATCCGCTAGTTTTATTTTAGTACTCCCTTCATTTCTTTCAAAATATATGTTGTTGAAGGAAAACTAATTTTTTTTTTTCAAAATAGATATTATTTTAGCATATTTAGGTATATTTAGTCAACTTCTTTCAATATATTTGAAGTTATAATTATATTTGAAGTAGAAGTGTATTAGAACTAAATAATATTGGGAATAAAATTGTATTGAGAATAAATGAGAGTAATCTAGTATTTTAACCAAATATTTATTGTTTCCTTAAACTTTGTGAAACTCATCAAGCGACATATGTTTTGGAATGGAGGGAGTAATTTATTTTAGACAACTAAGATTGTTAAATTTGAATTCAAAGTATTTTTATCTATCAGACATTGTGATATTAAAATTGATAAATTAACTTAATGATCTTTCTAGAATTTCATAATATTAACATTGTTCTATTTATAAGATTAAGTAATCTTATTTAAGGAATTTTTATTTTTAAATTTGAACTAGACGAAGAACGGATGGAGTTTTTCATTAATGAAAATTAAATTCACAATGTCAAATAATAGTACTACCTTCGTCCCATAATTATTTTCCAGTTTGAGTTTTCATTTCTAGTTCAAATTGTACTAAAAATGAAATCTCAAACAAGATAATAATTTTGAGACAGATTGAGTAGTTTTTTTTTTTTTTTGGGTACAAAAAATAATAGTAGTATTTGATTATTATCTTTTAAAATGTTATGCTTTATAAAACTAAAGGAAAGAAAGAAAGAAATGTGGGTAGGAGGGTTGGGTGGGATGATTAAGAAATTAAGAAGGGGATGATTATTATCGGGAGGTCGAGGGTTCGATTATAACTAGGTCATCCAATTAAAAAAAAGAAGAAGAAAGAAATGTATCTTAACTGGAGCCCGTCCATCATAATTTTCTGTTTTTCTACTGATGCATAATGATCGATTAAGAAACAGAATCAACAATAACGGCGCACTACACACACGTATCATTCAAGTTAGGCTTGACTAGAAAAAGCAGAGAATAAGAGAAGTGAGGGGCATTTCCACAAAAAACAAAAAAAAAAGAGAAGCGAGGAGAACCTTTCTAAAGTTATTGGGCTTCTTCTTCAGTTTTGGGCTTACATGTAAAGGTTTTGGTTCTGGCTTGTTGGATGAGCTGAATGAAAATTAAAACGATCAAATAAAGTTGCGCGAAAGCTATGAGAAGAATTTGGAAGGGTTTATGCTTAGTACACTACAAGAGCTAAAATTTGGGTGTAGTTTCTTTGATGGAGCTTAATGAACCGTAGAAGGTGATTCCTAGGGGAAATAATAAACTTGTGAATGAATTTAAAGTTAATGTGTTGGTTTGACATGCACAGAATGATGGGTGGAAAATTAATTATAATTACACACCCAAAATTCAAATGCAAATTCAACAACAGTTTGATACAAAAAAAAAATTATTCACGTACGTACTTGGCAAAGTTAACTTCATCACTGTCAGTCAACAGCTAGCTACCAAAGACCGGATAATTAATTAAGTAGTCCAAACTTCTACCGTCCTAGATTAAGCAATATGTACATAAAGATTGGATGGTTCAAGTTTGTCACCTTATAAAGGAAGGGATGAACGCCCACGTCAATTTATCCTCTCAACATTCTTTCACTATTTTTCACCGGAAACTCCTTATTTGTCACATAACCTTTTAGTGCTTGTTTGGACGTCAATTTACATTTCATTTTGCCACATAAAAGTGAAAAGTGTTTCAAATTGAAAACTAAATAGGAAATAAAAATATTGTTTGAATGTTGGTTTTGAAAAAAATATTTTGAATTACATTTTGAAAATATCAAGTACAAGTCATCACTAAACAATTAAATACTGTCAATTATAGTCACTGCAAAAAAGAACTTTTTTAAAAACAATCACTCAACAATGGAATCCTACCAAATTTGTCACTGAATTATTTGTAGTTCTAAAATGGTTATTACACTAACAAAAAGTGTTTCAAGTTGGAATTTAAAATGTAAATCATAAAGTTGTTTGGATGATGTTTTCTTTTTCATTGGATTTTATGTTTAAGAGCTAAAATGAGTGAAAATGTAAAATGAGTTGACGTAGCCTAAAGACACAGATGTTCTCACTTATCTTTGCCTAACTCCAATTCTCACAATTTGTTGAAGAACGCGCAAGGCATTTTATGTTTAAGGTGCACCTCGGTCGTTAATTGATTTGTTACATACTTTTCCACTTTGATATAGCAAAAACTTTTTTATTCCTAGCTAGTAAGATGTCTACTTACCCTAGAGTATGGGTTAATTTTTTTTTTTTTTTGATACAATTAAGAATAGTAGTTAGATGCCTAAAAGACAATTTAATAGTAGTCCGCAAAGGAAACACCGAGAGTATCACGTTTTAGTAAAGAGTTAATCCAAAAAAGAGTTCATATAACATCAACATATTGTGAGGCCCTCACTACCAATCTCAGAAATGCTCAAATTCCTACCGAAGCACAAGTAGTAGTAGACTCATTAATCTCTTTAATAGCTTCGTTTGAATTCTGTGAACTGATTAAAACTGATATTCAGAATATGCATAATAATAGAATGAGATGTAATAGTATAGTTACTTTATCTTAATGCAAGTACCATTATCCAAAAAAAACATCAACATATCTCTCCAGGACTCGATGCATCTAAAAATCTCAGAAAATCTGCAGGATAGATCGATGTCTTTCAATTTAATCCTCCAATCCCTCCTTAATAGCTCACGAATCCCCTTTATCAAACTACCATATTATCATGCTGGTTCCTCATGATTCAAAACCAATTGTACCACGGTCATATTATCAACTTCAGCATCCAGCTTCGTCGCCCCAATTTTCCTTGCCATATGTAAGTCATGAAACAATATTTCCCTCACTCCGTGATTAAGCATAATCTAAATATTCATTATAAAACCACTCCCCATGTTCCATAATGCTTCCTTATACATAGGTTCGATTAATCTTTTAACCTTCTTTGATTATTTCAGCCGGAAAAAAAATCTCCATCATAAAGAAAATGAAAAAAAATGAAAAAAGAAGGAGGAGCAGGAAGTAGAATTTAAGGTGAAACGTCATTTTCTTTTGCAAAGGAAGAAAAATTCAGTGAAATGATTTTTGTTTAGGCATGCAAAAAAATTCACTGTAACACCAACACTGGTTTTTGTCGTAGACGGACGGACCGGATCGGAGCCATCGTAAACCGGGACCGGCAGCAGGTCATTTTCGATGGGTTGGTTCAAACGTTGGAATTTTTGGTACTTCCAAGAGACGCAGATGTCCCACTGTTCACAGGCAGTCAGAACTCAGAACCAATATTATTATCCTGCGGCCCTGGTTAAATTAATTTTAGTATATATACATATAGATTTTTTTTTTTTTTTTTTTTATAGTTTAACCTATGTTTTTCTCAATTCGGAAACTGTCATTATGACGTCTACATCTTGCGGGCCGCAGATTTCGGTAAGATTCTTTTTGAATCCGGGCGGAGGGTGCTCCATTACTGGGCGTCCATTTGTCCATTAGAGCAAAAGTGGTCCGTCTCTCTTTAGATTCATTTCCGTTTCATTTTTTACGTGGCTTTTGTAGTTCTTGCAATATGCCATATGGTTTTAGTGAGTTGCAAAATATCAGAGAAGACTCGCGTGGATATTTTGTCGCACCTGATTAACTAAAATGATCTCGAAATTTCAAGAAGGAAACACCCAAGGATTTTCAAATATAGCCACTTATTAACGTCACGATAGAAATTAGGGATATAATTAGTCCGTGATATCATTAGTCTAATGCGCGCATATGCTTACTTCTTGTGAAGTCATTTAGGTTTCTAGGAGTGAGGTAGCCAGAGTAAATCAGTTAGCCAAGCAGCTAACTAGTCATGTAATTAATTTTGGATGTTTAATTCCTTAATACATGGTATATATAGTTTACTCAAATACAGGGGAAAAAACTCATGATACGATGAAAACAGGTCTGAAAGAATAATTTTTTATTTAAAAATGTAGCATATTCTCACTAAAATTAAAAAAAAAAAAAATAGAAGGCGCACAAGCCTGTATATACTTGCATATTTCCTGACTCCGTTGTTGTTGTTGTCGTTATTATTATTATTATTATAATAATAATAACAACATCGATCCGACTCCATCACTATAATAATTGCAATAGTGCATATATACATACATTCAAGCCATAGTGTAGAACCTTAACTTCATCTAAAAGGAAACTACAAATCTTAACTCAATCCCCAGATCATTTTACATGTATCACACAAGGCGAATTGCAATCGCATTCTGCATATTCGATATCCAACCACATTGACTAGTGCATAAGCTAAACATCCACTTCAGGGCCAAAAGACTATGTTGTTCCATATAGTATGTAGACTATTAACTATTAGTTTATAAGCAGGACTTTTGATTTTACAAATATTTGGAGTGATGTCTCATTTCAGTCATTACTTCATTTTAATTTGCCTTTGTTTTTACAAGAATATTTAGTTTGTTACTAATGACCTTTTTATTCCACCATTACAGTCAAAGGCGTCAAACAAAGATTTTGATTAGATTATATATAGTCTCTAGAAATTATATTCCGCTATATCCCAAAATAACTGTCCTATTTATTGAATTAAAATAATTTGATATTAAAACATTTTTGGGATGAAGAAGGAAGCATTTATCAAATGTCTTCATTTAATCTTAAGCGTGAGAGAGCTGGATCGGGTATTAAAAGGATTCTTAAGATCAACATTCGTAACCGAGAGTGGAGATTCAAGACACCTCACAATTGTTAGTATTATTACTAAGTCTTTGTGAAGAAGAAAAGATCGAAAACGAAAGCATTACCAAAATAAACTAGGACTCAGGATTAGCAATCACACCCTTCACAGTTTAGTCCACCCCAAGTCATCTACCCTTCTTCACGACGATAATACTCCTTCATTCCCAAAAAAGAAAAAAAAGTCCACAATAAGTTTTACGATTTGCATTAATATTCTAATTGTTTGCTATATAGAGTAAATAATTACTATGTTAGATTAGATTAGACAAAAAGTAAGATGTTTCTCTTTCTTTTTTTTCTGTATATGATTCTGTCTAAGTATTTTATTATGTAATCAAAACATATCTACAAAAAAGAACATACTCTCTCTGTCCCAAACTAATAATTATATTCAGTATATTAGATTACTTTAATAGATATAACTCTTATCTGCGACCAAGGGAGTACAAAATGTATGCTATTACCTGTAACTAAACAAAAAGTGATTGGGTGATTAAAAAAAAGAAAGATTGAGAGAGAGAGAGAGATGAGAGATGTGGTTTAGTTATTCTTATAGAGTATGCTCCTAATTTAAATGATAATAATACCAAAAAGAAAAGAAAGAAAAAAGAATGGAGATATAATCTTACATGCATGATAGATGAAACTAGCTAGCTAGGAATGGGTACTCTTGCTAAAATGTCAGTGTCCACATTATTTGCATGCAGATTCCTCCATAAATCAAATATTGGTAATTTCCAATAGGAAGAAGAAGAGGAAAAAAGAAATCTACTTGATTTTGCACAGTCCACAGTGCTATTAATGAAACATTGTTCTTGTACAACGCCAGGGAACAAGAACAATGCAAAAATAATTTTGGTAAAAAAAGGGGAAAAAAAGAAAAGAAACTTAATTTGCACATTAGATATATATATGCATGCTCTCACGCTAATCATCTAATGTTGCCGGAAATGTCGTCAAATTGGGGGTTTTTTTGGGATCAAACACAGGCAGTGGCCGGTGGAATTTTCGAGATTCCTTGACGCTGCAACTCCACCATCACACTATCTACCGACGGCGGTTTCAGCCCGAGTGGAAGCGGCTGCCACGGCTTCGATAAAACATCTCCGATGGCTGCATCTATGCTCTCCTTCGACTGTAATTTCAATGCAATGCCATTGTTGTTAGATTAACATTTCCAAATGTTATTTATTGAGTTCATGTGTAACAAATGAAACAGTAATCAATGAAATAATGAGAACAATAATTTACGGAGATACTAATCTTTCATTCCAAAAATAATTATTCACATTGAGTTTCTAAATTTATATAAAAAATAATACTCCATTCGTTCTAAAATTATTGTCCAGTTTGAGTTTTCATTTTTAGTTCAAATTGTACTGAAAGTGAAATCCCAAACTGGATAATAATTTTGGGACATAGGGAGTTCAAATTTTAAAACTTAACGTGGACTATTTTTTTAGAACATAAAGAATATTTTTTTTTTTTCTAGAATTTATATGGCTCAAATGTACTATTGTATTATCGCCAACTACTATTTGACTACCATTATCAAGTCAACAGTTTGCAGGTAAAAGTCACCGATGGAATGATTGTTTTTTTTGGAGGGAAATAGACCAATGAGTATAATGATGAAGAAAGGTGGACTGAATGAAAGAAGTATAAAAAGGGATTTTACCGGGTGGAAGTCAATAGGTGCCTGAGGTAGGGTTCCGGTAGTGGGAGCTGTCGGGATACCAATGCTGCCGGCGGGGTCTACTTTGTACATGGCAGCAGGAGGTGGTATACCTGGTACCGGGGGACTAGGAAATCTCTGCATGGAAAGGGGAAAAAAAACATTCATCAGCCACTATAATTAACAGAATAAAGTTTAACTTTTTTGTTTTATTCGTACGGTAACTAATTATTGATTTGCCAAAATAGTTGGATATAATTGAGATGCTGTTTGGTTGCCTCAAGTAGAGGGCATGAACAGGAAACCTTGATCTGTACAATCAAAGATTACGTCAATAATTGAATTGACACTTTAATGAAAGCAACCCCCTTTTTTCTTTTGTTTATCATATAGTTTGTTTATTATACATCTACATCTATGCTACATATAAGAGTGACATTCTTTGATCTTTAGTCATTATTGTACGTAATGTAACCTTTTTTTTTTTTCTCTTTTTGAAAAAGGTTTTCCATCACTTACTAAAATCATATATGGCTTCTTGTTTTGTGTATATCTCTCAACATTTAAAAGTCACGACTTCGTTGTTACAATTCTTAAGAATTACTTACTAACATGGTAGGATTTGTACAGAAAAAATTACATGGTCTTCTTAGGTAAATTTAAAATGCATGTTAGTCCCAAAAAAAAGGAAGAACGAAAGAAGATGCGAGCAAAATTACCGTGGGTGCAAGATGTGGTGGGAAACAAGGTGTTCCCGGTGTTAGAGAATTTGGAACCTGTAATGCAGCAAAACAAAAAAAAATGCCATTAATTTTTTCATGAATCTCACAAAAATAATCTACATTATAAATTAAAATTCTATTAATATTTTTTAAGTATAATTTACAATTTAAAATATAGATCGCAGAGAATATTACAAAACACACAATCGCCATCGCAGTGGTAACTAATTTGCTTACCCGTTGGTGGTGCGAGTGCCAAAAGGAAGGGTCAGCTGGCGGCGGCGGTGGAGGGTGAGGCGCTCCGGCTGCCGGAGCCCAAGCATGCGGGAGCGGAGGCGGAGGAGACGGTGAAGGGGCGCCTAAATGTTTAGGCCAAATGGGCATTAACGTTGTTTGGTCGACGGATGGATGACCCCATACATGTAGAGGTCTAAAATGTGGCACCGGTGCCATGGGAGGAAATCCCATTGTCGGAGTCGGAGCTAGCCAAGGGCTCATTTCTCTCTTTCCTCCTCCGGATGCGGCAGCGGCAGCTGCGGGAGGAGCAGCGCCGCCGTACATCTGCCGCCTTTGGGTCCAGTTTGCTGCTTCGGCTTCTCTTGCAAGCAAATGTTTCCGGTGCGAACGGTACTTCTGCATGACCATATATATGCACGAAATAAGTTACTCTTGATTAATTGAATCTCATTTTCATAAACATTGTACAAAATGGAATTCGAAAGAATGTTTTAGTAATGTAATAATTTAGTTATAAGTATATACAACTCATCAAAGAGATTACACGTACAAGATATTCATCAATCAAGGATTGCTTCATTTAGTTCATGACCAATCATTTGTGACTTTTAAAGAACTTTCTAAAAACAAACACAGGAAATTAATGATTTTTTTTTTTCCGGTAAGAATTAAAACTTCCTTGGTAAAGTGGAAATTCAGGTAAAACCGAAAAGGTGGAGTAACCTTTTTACTCAAATCTGATAATGGGGATTTTTTTTGGTGGGTTCGAGAACTGAGCATAAGAACATGGAGTAAGAGACAAAAAGGAAAAGGAAAAACAAACAAAAGGACCAAAGAAAACTCTTGAAAGAATCGGTGTATATATGTGTTAAGATCTGAAATTAAGCTCTTCCAGCACAAACAGTACTATAACAAGGGTGTCACAAATCGTATTGCCAGACCCTTCAATAATATAAGTAATTGCCCAACTCAATTCATTTTTTTTACACAATTTAATTAGGAGCCGTATTGTTATTCTCTCAACCCTTTTCTGGTACAAAAAATTCAACAAATTAGGAAACACTTGTATCCTGATAATCATGTCAAGTCAAGTCTTACATTATTTTTTTTTTCGATGTCGGTGAATTCATGACTGGAAAAGGTGAGAGGTCCCAAAAATTTATTGCATTTTTTGATCAGAAATTAAAGAGAGGAAGAAGAGATTGAAGGATTCATACTTGAAGATGGCTGGCAATATTATGCCTAGTGAGACAATCAATTCCCATGAGCTCAAGAATCCTTGAAGGGACTGCCTTATCCACACCAAGCTGTTCCACTGCTTGCACAAACCTCCTGTGCAGCTCTGGCGTCCAGTCCACCTTCACACATTTCAAGAAATCTTATTAAGAGTTAAGACACACAGCAACAAAATTATTGTGTATATATAAACAAAAATCATATACTAATACCATAAATACAAATCAAATGAAACAAAATAATTTCATGTTTCTCTCTTTCTCTTTCTCACAAACTCACAGTTTTTTTTTCCCTAAGGATTAGGCATCAACAATCATTTTCCTTATCATGTTTTCCCAAGTATAGTTCCTTCCAAGAGTCTCGTGAACTTCGTCAATCATTAAAACTTGCTCTGTAGGTCCTATAAAAATATACTCTCGCAGGCGGTAATATCGGACTGGATATTATTTCTGAAATAGAGAAAGTATACATGATTCTCCCTTGAAGTATGTGAAACTACGGATGACTTCGAGAAACATGCAATAAAAGATGAACTAACTAACTAGAATGAAATACTAAAAAGGAGCCAATCATTACCAAAGTCAAATATCAACAAAACCCTAATTTCCAAATAGTAGTACCTTGACTTTCCTCTTTCCTTGAGAATTCTTGGGTTGTGAAGACGATTTCTTAGCTTTATCACCATCTTTAGGAGAAGGGTTTGCACTGGCTACCGCTGAATTATCTTCAACTACCGATGATGATGACGACTTGCTTACAACATCTTCAGCCTGAGTACTGAAAGTAGTGGAAGAGTAGACATCTGAATTATTATTAGTGTAATCACTAATAACACCCTTATCCACATCCACTTTTGGTGAAGTTTCCTCAACTACTTTTTCAGTAGATAGTAATGAGGATTCAAGTGTTGACATCTCGGAGGAATCCTGATCAGCCCCACTGCTGAGTGAAAATTCAGCAAGAATCTCGGGATCCATCTCCAAATCTGGCAACACATCTTCATCATTAATCCCCACGAACAGGTCATCGAAGTCAATACTGTCCAGCAAATTCCCACATGAAAAATCCGGGAAAGCATCCTCTTCTCCAACTCCACCTCCATTTGTAAAGCAGCCCTCCATCTCGCTTTGTAATCTTTCATCTTTGCAACTTCTCAAAGGTGGTGGTAAAGCAAGCATTCCAAATAGTATATTAATATAAAAAAAAGATCACCTCCTCTTTTGCACTAAATTAATGGTGCAAATTGATCTTCTCTGCTTGTTCAACACTTTTTCAAGCAAGAAGTAACCATAAAGAGAGATGAGTTTCCGGCGAGATATTCCGGCACCGAGGAAGGGAGTATGGGGGATTGGAGAGTATTGTTTGGAAGTGGGAGTGTGGAAAGCTTGGATCTCCACCACAACTTGAAATAGAGGGGAGCTCTCAGATTTGTATTTATGCAGCTGTTTTTGGGGTTTTTTTTTTTTTCCTTGGAAAACATTATAATATATTCTTTTTATTATGTAGTGAAATTTCATAAATAAAAACAAAAATGTAATGGATCTTGTGGATGCCCTTTTTTTGAAGTTGGAAAAAAAAAATCTATTTAAAGTGTATTCCCGTGAGCTGATATATTTTTAATTTTTGTTATTATAGACTTTATGGGAAAGAAAGACAGGTCCAAGTTGAATTTCAGAGACACAGGAAGGAAATTGAAAATTCATATATTTCAGCTCAATACATATCTGTTGTACAGTGAAAAGAAAGGGATGTTATCACTGCGGTGGTACATCAGTACGAAAGAGACCAACAGCAGGAATTTATTATTCCTTGCTATTTTCACTTCTTTCAGCTATAAATTCCTTCTGGTCTTATTATGCAGCATATAATCACAACTAAGTTTGAGTTTATTAATCTCTAAGAAGATTATCGACATACTCAGTTTGGATTTTTCTTTTTTCTTTATACTATTTACACGAAAAATGAACTTTCAAACTAAATAATAACTTTAAGACAAAGAGAATCTTTTATAAATATATAGAATATGAAAAGGTAGATTGTTGTGTTACCATGATACGGTCCTAAGTTGAGGTAATTTGCTAGTGAAATGGTCCCTCCTCTATTATTTTAGATGACCTTTTTTGCATTTTTTATTTCTTCAATATCTGGTATGTATGAAATTAAATGGCTTTTTGGGTGCACAAAATAAATAGTTTTAATCCTTCAAACCTATAAAAACGTGTGTCACTTGATATCTTGCCCTAGAAGATTTGTTGAATTTGTTTGTCAAAGTGGAATACGCAAACATTGAGCTCGGTAGAATCTGTACAAGTAACTCGTTTATCATACTTGAAAACTGTTTCTATATTTATCCCCCAAATGGATGAAATTATGTTCTCACTTGCAAATTCAAATAAAGAAACAAAAAAAAAAAAGAAAAGAAAAGAAGGAAAAATCATAGCTCTTTGTTATCCCAAAACATCTAAAACTCCACCCTAGATTGTTGATGTGTTTAACATATTTGCATTTTCTCAAAAAAATTCATGTGTATTGAATTTTTTCATAATTTTTTTACAAATTTAACTATTATTTTAAGACAGAAAAGTGACTCCAATATTCTGGCAATAAATAATTTCTTTTTTTTTGTAATTCGAAAAGGCACAGTTGAAAATAATCGATTGATAACAGAAAGCTATCCTCTTAGAACAAAAAATACAAAAAGATCCATGTTGACCTAGTATATATAATACACATTGAATTGGTCATATTTAATCACATTGAGACAAAAATTGTCACGCTGATGAGACCAAGTTTTTGTCACTAAGCCAAAGTTTAAGGCACAAAAACACTGCCTATTTTTCCTTCTCTTACTTATAAATTAAATTTCTAACAATACTCGGCATACCTCCGGTTCTCAAAAGTAAAATCTTGAAGGACAAATAAAAAGAATTAAAAAATTGAACAACAACGCCTCCTATCAGCGTATTTATTTCAAAAAAACTTAATTGTGGTGAAATAAAGCTTAGTTTTTATTTTTAAGAATTTTCCTTTGTTCTAAAATAATTTTTCTACTAATTTTATTAAAATAAAATAATATTTAAACAATTTCAGAAAGAAGAAGTACTTAAAATAAAAAGTAATCAATCAGACAGTTCCGCATTATCAATCAAATGTCGTACGAAAAGACTATTCAATACAATGGTTGTATGCATTTATTTTTTACTGTACCAAATCCATTTGGGATATAAGTTTTTTTTTTTTTTAAGAAAAAAGCTTCTATATATTTTTCTCTCTTTTAGAAAAATGGCAACTTCTCATAAATGTATATGGTTCCACGAGTTAACATGGTGCAGTCTTGTACAGTTGTAGTGTTGTACTGATATGAGTATTTACTCATTTCGGTTTGTGAGACTCGGGTACTTAACCAAATGAACCGTGAGGTAATTAGGAAATTTTTTTTACTGTAATTTCTCAATTTTCTTACGTACATTGCTTAGAACTGTATCTCAATCCTCACCGACTTACCCCCTCTTTGGCCTATCACAATGGTTTGTTTCACCCTAGTATGGTGTATCCTTCCGTCACAACGCAATAAGAGTTACTAAACTAAATTAATATGATTATTATTTTAGTTCAATAAATGTGATTGTGTTATAAGAAACATAAGGAGTAAGTGTTATTCGGGATATAAATTTTTTTTTTTAAAAAAAAAAGCAGTAAAAACTAAGTAGCTAAATAAAAAACGTATGTTTATAGAAAACTAAACTAATTAAGATGAAATTACACATAGAGAAACATGGGGGGATATAAACTCTTGTTTGTGATCATGATTGGGGGTGAAGTCATTGTCCATGTCTCCCATGTACTTATATTGACTAGAGAGATCGTACAATATGATCAATACTTAACCGCTGCTTATTCTCTGGATATGTATGTACATATACTTTCGTGAGTTCCATTAATTGTTTGAAAAGTTTTCCGACCGTGGAAAAAGACCTTCTCTCAATAATTATTAGCTACTAAGATTTATGATATACTCCCTCTGTCCCAAAATTATTGTCCAACTTGAGATTTCACTTTTAGTACAATTTAAACTAAAAAGGAATACTTAAACTGGACAATAATTATGGGACGGAGGGAGTATATATATGTATTGAGATCATCAATGCAACTTGAATATTTTCCCTTTGTCATAAAAATAAGTGCCATTCTAAGAAAATTAATACATTCTCTTTTAAGTACCGTTATAAATTTATAAATATAATGTTTTGGTGTTTATTTCCTCGAATTCAGAAGTAATTCATGGATTTCACAAAGTGACAACTAGTCAATATATCAACCTCACGCACAAAAGACATCATATATATAAATCTCTTCTTATCTCTAATGGAAAGAGATAAAACCCTAACATCTTGTCTCTTTAATTAAGTGAGGAAATGACTTTGATGATATCTACAATCTCAGCATAAATTGACACGAAATATTAATGCTCATATTACAAAAACAGTTTACTCTCCACCACATGTATAGACAACTAGAGATAGTAACATATTTTTTCTGTCCCAAACTGGAGAATAATGTTGGACGCACAGGATACTAATTAAACGAATTAATTACATCCGCTTTTTGATCACGTTTCGAGATTAAAGTTCAATTTATTTAACTAAAATAATATATTTAAATTCGATAATTTGTTGGTGCGACGTTTACTCAGTCAGCCGTCAACTTTAATAAGAGAAAAGACGGTCGAGTAATGGAACAACTGTCTTTGGATACCTGCAGCAACCAAATTAGACCTGTGCACAAGCTGTTAAAAAAGTTCAATAGAGACCTGAAAACGTATGAATTTGAAGAAAACCCCGCAAGAATCCACACGAAATTTATTAGCTGATGGTAATATATTGTACTAGAATTTATCCGCAACTGCAAGTTGATGTTCTGGTGAACTACTAGTAGTATTTTATAATCTACATAGGCTTGCAAATTGCAATTTTCGAGTAGTTATCTAATTATGTACTCCCTCTATCCCAAAATTATTGTTCAGTGTGAAATTTCAATTTTAGTACAATTTAAAGTAAAAATAAAAACTCAAACTGGATAATAATTATGGGACGGAGGGAGTATGAAAGATTCAGAGTACATTATTTTTCTGTCTAAAAAAGTTTTTCAAGAAAGCATTTTATTCATGTATGGTACGGTGTAATAACCTAATATGGCTTTGTGTAATTTGAAATTATTAATATCGAATTCTTATTTATTATTAGTTTAGTAACCCAGTTAAGCAGAAGAGAAGCTTAAACCTAATCCTCAGTGCCAATTGAATAACCGGCCTATCTCCATTTTGATTGATCAAATGTATACAACAGAAATGTTAAATTTTTAACTTGTTTAACTATATATGATCAAGTCCGAACCTGATATCATTATGTAACTGTGACGAAAATAATGACTGAAAAGAGTTTTATTTTCTGAAAAAATAACCCAAAAATTTCAATATGATGTCCAAAATAATAGACTTCTTTTGGAAATTAAAATAATAGACTGTACTCATCAAGTTGAAAGGAGGCCACGGAAATGCGATAATTCCTGCCCACATATTAATTTAGATTTTATTCAGTGATTTTGTCTGATACATAAAAACCGACATACCAACGGACAAGTCCCTTTTGGCTTTCATTTCTTATTTATCTCTAGTCAGATCCACACTTTAGCCCCTACTAATATGAGATATTCCCAAACTTTGTCAATAACTTGAGCTGAATATCCTCGTCAATGCACTTCGTTTACTTGTCTCAATGATTGCACGGACTTTTTTCTTTTTTTCTTTTTTTTTTACCACAAATGTATTAATTAAAACATTGTTTATCTATGATACTATATATACCACATATTATAGCATCGTTCTTGAAGGTTTAAACAAACATTCATATATATGATGCATAACGTGTCGTGCCTCTTCTGCTTATAACTATCTAATTAGTTGTAGATATTTTCATGTAAAAACATTAGAGTAAAGAAGCTACAGTAAACTACTTGATGGACATTGATTTGGAGGCCTGGCCTCCATTATTAAGGGGGCAAAAAAAAAAGAGTTAAATTTTGTCTCATAATTTCAGAAATCATTTACAGTTTGCATGAGTTTGATTTTCGCTAGACTATCTTTTTTTTAAAAAAAAAAAATCAACTAGTGTTCTCCATGACCAAAAATGAGTAATTTTGTATTATCTCTATTTTTAAATAATTATTTTGTTTGTGTTTCTACTTTTACTACCATTTAAGTTAAAATAAAAATCTAAATCATACAATTATTTCGAGACAGTAAGAGTACATTTTATGTTTTGGATTGAAAAACTTATTAAATGTGAAGAAAACCTTGATTCCACCTTCTTCCATGTCGTGCTCGAAATTATTACTTCGATTAAACTAACTTTGAGTCTGACTTTTTTCCAGAAGTATTCAAACAAGTGATTAAATTATAGTCGATTGCATTAGGATTTACCCTGGCGATAACCTATCATTAAAATGTAACTTTTTTCTTTAAGGTCAACTGGTCAACTTAATAGAGAGGGAAGCTA